ATTCTTAAGACAAATGTTTCATTATGAACCTAAGTTTTATTATATTGATTATTGATCCATTTACTAAGACCTTATTGCCTGAGATATTTAAAGAATATGTTCTTATAATTGGGCTCATAAACAATCCATAAAAGATATGGTGATATATATTTGAGTAAATATCATAATTAATATTTTTATTTATATAATTAAAACTATTTATTCGTATTTATATATGTACATATTATGATTGAATATGATATTATAAGAGATATTATGAATTGCATTAGAAAATACTTAATGTATTATTATTATATTTATTGAACTTATTAGCTTATTTTATTAAATAAATTGTATCTTATTTATTGTAATTTTATTTATTTTTATATCTTACCAATTAATGAGTTAACTGGGAGAATATTAGATCATGTGACCCTGTTTAATTGGATAAGATATATTATATTTCTAATTAAATTCTGATTAAGGTTATTGAGTAATAGAAAAGAAGTTCAATTATCATAGTATTCTTTATTGGAGATGACCTTAATAAGAAGGACTCTTTTAATTACTTATCCTAGACTTTTATCTATAAATAAATATAATGCTCCTAAATACTACATACAAAAGAAAGATTACAAATCTATTTTTATCTCCCCTTAGTTTATATTCCATCACTTATAATTTAGTTCTCTTTACAAATTATTTTTTTAAGATAAAAAAAACATATTCTAAATGAGATCTGAGAGGTATATATCATAGATTAAATATATTGTTATTTAATTTTAGATTCTGACATCAAATAACAATAACAATAGTATGATTATAATTTTTATGCTTATATTAAAAACTAAAATATGATTAATTGATAGTCAATCTTGATGTTGCAAAGTTTTCTTCGAGAGACAATTTCCATATAGCGAAGTATTCAACATGGAAAGCAAAAATTGCTTTAAGAGGTATATATCCATGATGCCTCACTATTTGATAATGCAAGATACGCTTGAAGAGGTATTAAAAGAACCATCATATTTGATGGCTAATGAGATTCCATGAGAGAAGTAAGACAATGATTAGTAATCACCCAAAGCTGGTGGTAAGTCTTCCCTCTCGAGAGTGAGAGTGGTAGACCCCATGCCGTCGACATGGGATCCGCCACCTTTGGATTCAGGCAATTGGCCAAGCGGTCATTGCGACAATTCCAAGTGGAGAGTTGACCCATCTCCCGGATGTCATGGGGAGCCTGTGAACGAACAGTACATCACCGAACACTAACCAACAAATGTGAGTGTCTTCGATTCATCGAGAGGCATTGCTGCGTCTCCTTGATCATGAAGGAAGAGATGAAAGATTTTGTTGTACAAGGTTCCATCCTCAAGATTGTTCATGCAAGATCTCTAAGGATTTGAAGAGGATCAACATACATGATCTCATTCTTAAGTGCAATCTAGATGTGACATGCAAAGTTGACTTCGCATGGTTGCAGCATACAAATGCATGCATGCATGCAGGATTTTGTAGGAATAAATTATTGTACATTTCAGCTTCTTTACTTTATTGAAGACTGCTATCGTTTCTTTATGGAAGAACAATAGCGCGCTTCATGTGCACACCGATAAGATTCAGAAGCTCCATGTGAGCAATTACATGGACAACAGCTTGTGTCTTTAAATGCACTGTGGATTCCCTAATTTAGGCAACCCCATAATTGGAGTTTGATCACATTTGAGTTGGCTGATTTTGGAGGGTTGAGGCATGCAAAGAGCAGTGGATTTAAATACACGAGGGATTAATATCACACACACTTGGAAGCCAAAAGAAGCCTAACAATTGGCCGAAGGGAGAGAGAGAGAGAGAGGAGGAATAGAAAATATCTCACTCCGAAGAAGATGATAGAATGAGAGAATGAAGAATGAAATTATAAGGATAAAACAAAAAAGTACATGAAACTTCATGTGAAATCTATTTATAGATAGTGAAAAAGGATATTTCTTTAACTGAGCGAAATCTCATGCAGTTGAGGAAATCATCTGCTATACAATTGAGAATATCTTTCTTATATCAGAGAAAGAAAATCTCTCTGTTATCATGCCCCCACAAGATCGAGCTCTTGTCAAGGATACCGATCTTGGATCGATGAAACAAAAATAGTTTACGGGCTAGAGGCTTCGTGACACGAAGTTGATGTCTGACAACTTGATCTCGCACAAAGTGAAAGTCGATGGTGATGTGTTTCATGCGCGAGTGGAACACTGGATTGACACATAAGTAGGTAGCTCCAACATTATCACAATATATTGTGGGAGTATGAGTAAAGCTAACTTTGAGTTCTTTGAGGAGATTTATGATCCAGTTGAGTTTAGCGGCAGTGGTAGCAATAGCACAATATTCAGCTTCAGTTGTAGATCGGGCCACTGACTTTTACTTCTTAGAACTTTATTGGATTAGACCCAAGAATACTATGCAGTTGAGAATATCTCTCTTATATATGAGAAAATCTCTCTGGATAACAGAAAATCTCTCTGTTATCATGTTATCAGAAGAAACCCAACTTCATATAATGGCAAACTGATTTGATGGGGCTTCGATTTAAGTCGTCCTCCATCACTTCAACATGAAAAGCTTGTCGGTGAAGAGTGCGATGAGACCCACAAACACTACATTAGGATTTTTTGTTCCTTGGAAGCAGAGGAAAGAATGATGAGTCTTATTGGACAAAGTCTGGTCTGTTTTCCCTCTTTAAATCCTATAAATAATTCTTTTTCCATGGAATTGCTGCCCTAAATCCTCTTCTTCTTCTTCTTCTAATGGTTTCACCAAAGAATGGAAATCAAGTCATCCATGGAGGAGGAGAGAACAGAGTATAATGGTTGAATTGCAAAAGAGCATAAAATCTAGGTTGCTTGCCAGGAAACCAGGAATAATTCACACGACAACAGATTACTAGAAGAACTCATATAAGACATTTGGCATAGAGACTTGATCACCTTATTCTCTGCAGTACTCTCGAGGGGACGGCGAACCTGGCGGAGAAGGACCGGGACAAGTCCTCCGGCTCCTCCCACGCCGACCCTTCGTCAAAGTTCTGCGCATAGGTGTGTGGATCGTAAGCCATCGGCGCCGGAGACGCCGGGTTAAAGATCCTCCTCTTCTCCTTCATGATCCGCCGCCACAGCCCCCGCAGCCTCGTGGCCGAGGACCGGGCCGAATGGCGCGCGAGTGGAGCACACTCGTCGTCGTATTCGCCGTCCGGCATCCGGGCGAACCCGGCGGTCCTCCGCCGGCTGCCGCACCAGTCGCCGACGTTGAGAGGCAGGCAGGCACAAGATCGCTGCGTCGCGAGACGAGGACCACTATCCATTTGCCTTGGGTTCCTCGTTCACCCCATCAAGTGGGTATTATGGCGTGGAAGTGCGGTCACACTTATGGTGGCTCTTGGGGATAGGATCGTAATTATGTATAAATCCTGACGATGTCGACGTGGAAGAGTTTCTACCGTTGATTTGACCAAAACTGCAAGATAGCACGGCCGCGAGTGGACTATTCCCGGGTGGGTATCAAGGGATCCTGAGTACTTTGAGATGCGTGAACCATCCTGCCGGGGAGCTGTTCGGATCCGCTCGAGGGGATCGTGGATGTATCAGACGGTTGGCGATCTCGATAGCCCGGCGTGATCATCGGGTGAGGCTATCTCCTAGAGCACACGATCGAGACGGTGCATGCGACGAGCTCGACCGTCCGATCTGAGATGGTGCAATCACAGTCGGTGACTGGGGGGGTTCGACTCTTGCAATGCATCAACGAGGGTCAAAATGTCAACAGAAAAGCATGGTCAAACGGTCAACCTTGTCGCCATACGGCAGCCGGCGGCCGTGTCTTGCCTTTATGTATTGATATTATTCTAATCGAATGGTAGAGTCTCTTAAATCACATTACCATGATGAATAAGATATAGGGCATGACTATTAGTTGTTGGTCAATAAAATACGGGTGATCTCGGCGGACCACGTTGATTGTTGTGGACCAAATCAATGCGTGATTTAATAGAGTCCACGAAATTTGACCTTAGTACATTATATAGGTCCGACTTTATCGTCTTTAAATATGTAGGACAAGGACATAGGTTAGGACAAGCGCATAGAGTCCACCCAAAGTTGACGTCCTCCAAAGGCGACAATATACAACCTGTTCCAATTAAAATCCGGTATGACTAGATCATACTGTATAATGTGGCATGCAAGTGTTTGTGATTTCTCTAAGGTCCATACTGTAATATTCAAAAAAATATTATAAAAAATAAACAACAACACTAAAAACAAATAAATAAACAATATTATAAAAAATAAACAACAACACTGAAAACAAATAAATAAACATATGCTATGGTTAAATCACAAACTTATGGAATAATATTTATACCTTTAACAAGCTATGCAAGTCTAAATTCATAAAAACATGGAAATTGTATTTAAAAAGTTATATTATCACTGACCATGCTTTATAACATCAAGGTTTTATATTACTAAAACTAATAAACAGTATATGTGGTTTTATTTTCATAATCATATGGACCATATAAGCAACAACATGAAAACGCATGTGACATTGTATACAGCTGCATGTCATGTATGAAGTTACTTCACAGTAAAGCCACATATGCATCTAAGGCTGCATAAACAACCACATAAGCCACCTTTAAAAACATTGAGATAACCTTCACTCTTAGAAAGATGTTAAGACTAAGATATTTATAAACTCTTTGCTTAAAAGAATCAAGACCGTAGCTGGTCGTCGAACGACAGGCTGCCCCCTGGATCCATCTCCACCGTTGAATGCAGCGTGGGTCGCGTTCAGGGACGGGTTTGATGGGGATATAAAGAGGAATAACCTTTGTATATGAACAAATACTAGAAGACCATAATACACAACATAATTAAATAGAAACACAATCAAACATAACACCAAGATATATGTGAAAAACCCCTTCAATGTGAAGGGTAAAAACCACGGGGCAAACTAGAGATAATCCACTATGAGAATAATGAATATACAAATCTCAATCTCTTGCCCTAAACCCTAGCAACAACCACAAGAGAATAAATGGGATACAAGGATCACGTCACTGCCCACAATATCTAAAACCTCCCCAAGTAATCACAGCAAGAGTCTACTGTAGATTTGATCTAACCTGAGATAAGAACACTGCTAGATGATTGAGAACAGTCTCTCTGTGTCGTCCTTGTCTTCTTCCTTTTCTTTCTCTTCCTTTTCTGCCTTGTTCTCCTTCTTCTCTTTCGAATCCCGTGGCACTCAAGATCTGCTTCGTTGCTGTCTTTTTATAGCCTTTTTCTACTTCTAAAACGCAGCCACCACACCCCCTAATCTTAATTAGGGTTATGTTAAGAGGGGGTATAGGTTGTGGGGTGCCCGACGCCAATGGTGTGTGCACCTGCCGGACAGCATCAACTTCGTGTTACTTAATCCTATACAACTAGTGAAAGGACAAGCATTCGACGGTTGCAGATTGGTTCAGCAGATGTAACTGGGGTTTCATGGTGTCTACTTATACTATACTATTCTATACCTGATAGGACGACGAGGTCCTCGACGTCCAGATTCTTGCTGGCGAACTGTTGAACGAGCCTGGTGAAGTTGGCGCCGGGTGAAGGAATGTCGGCGAGGGCCTCGGATGCGAGTGATACATTGCCGTCCCTTCTGCCGGTCTTCACTTCCCAGAGAGGTTTCTGAAACTGCCATCAAACATCAAACACTTAACACGGCTAAGAGTCAAAGTTGGTACACACAACAAGAAACCACGAAAGGTTTGTGCAGTGCAAGTCGATCGTCAGCGACTTACTTGAAAAGATACCGAGTCTCTTGCGGCCAGCGCAACTATGTCTGCGCAGGAGACCCTCCCTGGGCAAGCCTTCTCCAACGCCGCCTTCACCTGATCGATGACTTCGAAGCCTGCTAGCGATCGGTTCGGGATGGCGTCCTTTTCGGCGCTAATGTTCGCTGTTGAATCCAGCAACACGGAGGCATCACAACCCTGTCGTACGCATGCATGCAGCCACATCGTGTCAGTCAGGAGGGCTATATATGTATCCATATGGATATGCATGACAATTAACCATGAGCCTCCGTGCGCTTACCCTCACGAAACAGTCATGGAAGAACAATCTCAGGAGTTTTGCAGGCAGCGCCGAGTTGTTCTTGACGCTTGCCCACACCAAGTCCTGAACCATGTCCTCGGCCTGAGGGCACAGCTTCTTGTAGAAGTGCTTCTTCAGTTCATCTGCTTGCCCTCCGGAAGAGAGGCCAAGAAGCACCACACAGGCCAAAAGGAGGAAGGTGGCCTTCATCTCTGCGCTTGCCGTTTGCTACTGCTGCTAGTATGAATCCGCTAGCTGGTTACATCCGTCGAGCTTTAAGCTCCATGCTGCCCTTTATATACAAGATCGAGAGTAAGATCGAGGGGCTGGCAACTGGGCAATTAAGATTTACATACAAGAATGCAGTGGTTCTGAAATAGGCTGCAATTTATAGATAATAAGCTCACATATCAGAAACATTCCCAATATTCAAAGAATG